TAGTTTTTATAGTATAAAAGTATAGTATAAGTAGTATAGTATAAAATTTTATAAATACGGCCTATAATATACTAAATATAAAAAATAATTTTTAAAAATACGGCCTATTAAACAGATCTAATATACTTTTATATTTATATTTTAATAATATATTTTAAGACCTATAAAGATCTTATTATGAAATTAAAAAGTTATAACGTAATTTATTAATATATTTCAAGACCTATATAGATCTTATTTATAAAGTTAAAAAGTTATAACGTAATTTTAATTTATTTTAGTTTTAAAACTTATATAAATTAAAACTAAATCAATTAAAAATAAATCAAAGAAACTATTAGACAAGATCTAAATGTTTAATATACGTTTAATTAGATTAAATCTAAACGCTTTATATACGTTTATTAGACTAAATTTAAAGGTAAATTTGACTTAATCTAAACGCTTTATATACGTATAATAACCCTATAACAATGTCTAAAATACGTTTGAGTATCGACGTTTTATAGATGTTAGTTCTAAACGTTAATCTGGATTTCATTCTGAACGGATAATCGATCAAATCTAAACGTTTTGTCTAAATGTTGTTTCGACGTTCAATAGACGTTTGTATGCTGGCTGGGCTGTTACTTTTTTTGAAAATGATATGAAGCTAAAAAAGTCGCTCAAAAAAGCAGTATGTCTTAATTAACAAAATCTGCTTTCTCTATAATTAATTTTAAAAGTATGTTTAAATTTTTAAGCAGAACTAAGTTTGCAAGATTGATCGATTTAATCTTATAAAACTGTAGTTCTTGGTGAATTGAGTCAGTTAAAAAAATACAAAGGTCTTGGCCCAGATAGAATAAGTGCTTATAATCACACTTATCACAATGATCAATGAGTGTGCAAATGAATTACAGTGGTTAATTTTTTTACTGATAGTATCATCATTTGAGAATAATATATAATGGTATAATATTTAGTATTTGAAAAGAAGCTAACGTGATGCCAATATACAAAGAAAAAGGTAAACAAAAGGACCCATCCAATAACAGACAATAATTTAATATACAAATATTGAAATAAATATTAAATAAAAACCAACGTTGACTTCTCTACATAATAATTAAGAAAACAAAACATCTGTAATGCTTTGTTTTCTTATTTATTCTGTAGAAAAGTCAACGTTGGTTTTTATTTAATATTTATTTCAATATTTTTATATTAAATTATTACAACTAGTTTAAATATAAAATTATGTGTAATTCCTCGCGCGGAATTTTCTCAAGAGAATACTTTCGTAATCAGTTTTTGTGCAATTCGCAAAAGAGAATTGTTTGTTTTGCAATTGCTGATTGCTATTCTGAATTAGCGTTATAAACGATTGTCCGGAGAGAATTGTTTTGCGTAACAACCCTTCTTTTAAAAACGCATTTTGTAATCAATGTAATGTTTTGGGTTCCTCGAAAATCTTTCTGATCGTGTGACAATAATGTCGTGGTCTGATGATTGACCTTGATTTGTATTTAGATCAATGTTTGTATTATTCGACAGTTTTCTTTTACCCATGAATGTGTCTTTTGATTCATTCATATCGCTTTCATTATCGGATAATGACATCCCAGTCTACTTCTTCTTTTGTTTTTAGTAGATATTTTCTGTTTCTTCTAACAATATTACCATTTAGGGTTTTCACATTGAAACTTTGTTGTTGTTTGTTTTCAACAACTTTTCCTGGTTTGCCATTTATTTCCATCATGTATACGAACACAGTCTCCATCACTTACGTTTTCCAACGTTTTCGCGTTTTTATCGTAATATTTCTTCTGTAAGTTTTGAACTTTTTCGCGATTCTTTTTAAATTTATTTACGTCGATTGGATTTACTTGAAGTAGTGACAGAAAAGTAGGAAGTGTTGATCTCAATCTTCTTCCACTGACAAGCTGAATAAGTGATGCAAGACCGTCAACAGGAGTGTTTTTTACTTCTAGTAGAGCTATGTACAGATCTTGATTTGACCTCTTTTCTTTGGTTAGAAAGTTTTTTGCTATTTGCACATGTCTCTCAGCCATTTCATTTGATTTTTAATACTGATGGCTACTAGTTATATGTTTAAACTCCCACTCTTTACTGAACTTTTGGAATTCTGAAGATGTGAATTGTGTGCCGTTGTACTAACTGCGGTATACTAAGTCTGGAGAAGATCATTTTTAGTTTCTTTATCACAGTTTGAGATTGAATGTAACCTTTTGATTTCCCAACAACGGCTATAATAGTTGACCACTATTATAAAATTCCGGCCATCCATTTCTTATGTCGTTCGCTACTACATTTAACGTAATATCTTTTATTTCTTTCAGGTTTTCTTCTGATGATGAACAGTTTGCATAAACCATATGCACTTGAGCAATCATTTCATCCTCCGGGGATTTCTTCTTCAGTTTTATTGGTGTGAGCTCTTTCCATTTCATTGTGGAAAAAGACACTGGATGTGTCAATTTTTCCATCGTACGTGGAAAAATTGACACATCCAGTGTCAATATTTCCACATCCAGTGTCAATATTTCCACATACCAATTTATTAATAATTTTAAAGATTATCAATGCTTCTTTTTTACCACTCATTTCACCAGATGATAATGATTCCACATGGTATTCTACAGCGCAATTTTCGTGTATGTTTTTTGAGTTACAGCAAGTTGCCCAATGATTTATTTTTTAACATTTACGGCACGTTTGACCGAATGCAGGACAGTTTTTTGGTTGGTGTTTTCTATTGTATTTCTTGCACTGTCTTTGTTGTTGTTTTTTATTTGAGCCATTATTGATTTGTTTCCAGTTTTGATTATTTGGTTCAACCCAGTCTTTGCCTTTAGACTCATTTTCGTTATTCGAGAACTTTCTCCATTTTGGCATTTGCCCGATTGACGCATTTTCTTGTCTTGGTTTTATGAGTTTCTTTACCACGTCAATATCTTTTTTGTATGTAATTGATTTCATTTCTGCATTTGCAACTTCTTCAGCTCTGCATATGTCAATCGCTTTAGTTAAAGTTAAATCCGCTCCTTTTCTAAGTAGATTATTTCAGACTTTGTTTGATTTGATTCCATCAATTATTTTGTATAATATCAGACCATCTTGAATGTTTTCAAACTTGCATGTTTGAGCCAGATTTTTTAAATCAGTTACAAAGAAATCAAGTGATTCATTGACATCTTGTTTTCGTAAGAAAAACTTTCTTCGCTCCAAAGCCAATAGACATTGTATCGTGGCCTTCACGCAGTTATAATTTTTTTATTTTTAAATGGGTGCCTCAAAAAGTCTTTACAGTCATCACAGAGCATCACGGAAGAGCATTTGAAAGTAAGTTTACGCTTCCTTGCTTAACAATGCTATTATACTTGCCAAAAGGTGAATTTCGCTAAACGTTCAAAAAAGTCTGTTATAAAGCGTTAATTGTCAAACTTGAAGCCAATAATTTTAAAGGTAAATTATTAATCTGGCTCAAAGCATTCCTTTTGGTCCAATAAAAAGAGTCTTTACTGATGAAAACTAAAAAAAAAAAATGTTTTTGGTTCATTACTATTTACGGTTTATATAAATGACATCCAAGATGCTGTCAAATGAAGACTCCACGGGAAGAAACGGCAGGTTCACATTTTGAAAATTTTGACTTTTTTGATTTTCTAGCTTTATAAAATCAATTATTTTTAATCAAATAATTGATTTTATGTATATTTAAAGTTTGATGGAATTATGCCTCTCTTCTTTAATTTTCAAATAGTTACCTCCCCGAAAAAAACGAGTTTTTAAACAATCGAGACTTGCTAAAAGACATAAACCAAACAATACTCTGTATTATCAAGATTTAGATTGAAAGATCCAAGTCCTTTTTTTTTATAATACTCGCAGATGATTCGGCTAATGTTTATTACTAAAAATAGAAACATTTGAACCATTAGAACAAGTAACAAAAAAATCTAAGAAAAGAAAAAACAAAGAAAGATTGCGCGAAAGTATAAAAAACAAAGGCTAGCATCTCATAAAACAGGGCTTGAATGTAACTATAAAAGGTTGAAATGCTTCAAAATTGTTAAAAGAGAAGATAGAACTGTTATTAAGTTACTTTAACTAATAAATTAATGATTTAGTTTATGAATTAATAAAAAAAACGAATACAGTCGTTATACCGAGGAAAAAACAGAAGGGTCCATAAAATTTCACTTAAAATGAAAGTTATTGCACGTGACCTGAAAATATTTAATTGCAAAAAAATAAGGTTACTTTTGCAAAATACCTTACAAGTTTACACTTTTTTTTCTAAAAAATAAAAGGTTACCTAGAATTTAAAGTTTAATATTGAGTTTTCTCAAAATGAAAATGACTCTACCGTTTCTTACTGTGGAGTCTTCAAATGTTTAATCAAGTTTTTGATGATAACAGCAAACTAATAAATACAATAAAAAAAATCAATTCAAGTTTAAAAAGAGACATCTTGATGCTATGGCTAATTGGGCAGATACGCGGAAAATAGAACTTAATGTTAAAAAACCAATGTCTTAGAATTGTCAATCAAAAAATCATCTACAACAATAATTCATGATCACAAATTTAGTATACAAAATACTTTCATAGTTAACCATATTCATTTGATCAGCTTTGCTTTATGCCACACAATCTCATTGTTATTATTATTATTACCTCTGCTAACTTTATCACAAGTTTCAAATTTAGTTGAGCCTATTTGGGCTTGGAAGGGTTAGTGTAGCTCTAAATTATGTCTACAAGTAGCCTAAAGAAATGTTTACTTGAATGAGAATATTATAATTATGAAAAATCTTCACGCATAAAATTAACTCTGAAGTGAAAAATCCTTTTTTGGAGGAGTTAACCTTGTTTTAGTTCTCCAATTTTTTGAAGAACCTCCAGGATGAATTTTATATTTTAAATGTTGTTTAAAATTCTCGAGCCGAAAATTAAATTAAAAATCGTCAGTTAAATTAAATTTAAAATCGTCAGTGGTAACAAAAGGTTCCGCTACGGTACGCAACCACAAATCAAGAGCCGGATAGCACGTTAGTTTAGGTACTTAATTCGTAATTGCAACTTATCAACATGAGTGTCATATGTGCTTTTTTTGCTAATTTATATGTATTTTTTGAATTTTAGATACATAAATAATGTACTCAATATTTGGTTTTTATGATGAATTAGATTATTTGACATTTTGCTATCAAGTATTAATCATAATACTGATTGGAATATCTCTATTAACTTTTTTTAAAATTTTGTGGAGCAAAATATTTAGGTATAAATTTAGTATAATAAAATGATAATTTAAAAGTTTTTTAAGATTTTGAATATGTTTATATATAAACTAAAATATTTAACAATAATCTCTTTTAGATAAATAGTTAAATTTTATTTTTAAGTATTCCTTTTTTAACTAATTTCTTTAGTTCAGTGAACATTAATTGCTGGTTTTGTGGTAAAGTTTCAAAAATAGAAAAAAGTTGTTCTAATTGGTGGTTTTGTCTAGAGTGCGAACAATGGAATGGCTTTAAAGAGGTTTTTTTATCCTAGTTTTTTTTACATGTTTGATTTAAAATAAAATTTAGTGTCATCTTTTGATATATATACTTTTGTTTAAATTTAAATTATTTTTTTAATAAAAATATTTTTTTAGGTGTATTATCAAGTTAACACAGCAACTCTAGGCAAGACCAATAGTAAATTGAAAATATATTTGGTCTTAATAAGATAACAATTCATTGAGTTGAAGATATATTTGGTCTTGATAAGATAACAATTCGTTGAGTTTTAAAACATTTTACTGCTTTATATTACTTAATCTGTTCTGAAATCTGAAAATTAATTTAATGTGATCCTGTAGTATTTCAACTAAAAACATTAAAATGCTTTTTGACCTTTTAAAACTTTCGATTTATTTTCTGTAACTTGTGATTAATAGGGAATTGACAAGCATTTCCTTATTAATTACAAGTTTCAGAAAATTTTCAATCAAAACGCAGTTAAAATAAGTTACATAACAGGCTGTATGCCAAATATGTAAATGTATAAAGTTGTCATATAAAAAAAAATAATAGTTTTAACTCAAAGTAACTGCAACTGCTTTAATAAAAGCATCTGTTCTTTATCAAACCAGTGCTTAACAAAAAACATTATATAAAGGTAATATATATCTATCAATAAATTCTACACAGGTATAAGCAAAAAAGAATTTATATTTAGAGATGTCAGCCATATACAATTATTTTACATTCTTAAGTATAAAATTGACACAAAATCCTGGAAGTTATATATAAATGAAAACTATGTAATTCCATTATTCAAAAATTAAAAGTGCAGGCATTGAAACAAATTCCTTCATATATATATATATATATATATATATATATATATATATATATATATATATATATATATATATATATATATATATATATATATATATATATATATATATATATACATACATACATATATATATATACATATATATATATATATATATATATATATATATATATATATATATATATATATATATATATATATATATATATATATATATATATATATATATATATATATATATATATATATATATATATATATATATATATGCTCAATGTTCTTAAAGAACAGAGCAATAGTAAAAGAGTAAAAACACTTATCTTATTTTTTCTTTAACAACTTGTTTCTCCATCAGTAGGTTCATCAGGAATCTTCCTGATGAACTACTAATGGAAAAACAAGTTGTTGAAGAAAAGAATCAGATGAATGTTTTTACTAATTTACATATATCAACTGACTTAAATAGGTAGAATATACAAAAAGTATACATTGACTAAGAGTTTTGGTTTGGGCAGGCAATCTATTAATTTAAAGATAATTTTAATATATATTTGTGTGTATGTGTATGTATGTATATATTTATGTATGTATGTATGTATGCATGCATGCATGCATGCATGCATGTATGTATGGATGTATGTATGTATGTATGTATGTATGTATGGATGTATGTATGTATGCATGCATGCATGTATGTAAGTATATATGTATGTATCTATGTATGTATGTATATTTTTCTTGTTGTAATAGGATGGTGACTATTATCAAATTATTCCTGAAATGTATGAGACACCAGTGCATTCAGTTAATGAAGGTAGCTTATAAATATAATATCTTTATATAATAAGAATTGTTTTACCAATTAATTTTATCAGTTAAAGCAAAAAAGGATATAATTTCTTGTTTAATTTTGTTCTTAAAATTTCTTTTATAACTTTATTCATTATTTTTTTCAATGAATATAAGTGATATTGATAAAATCAAATTTGAAATTGCTCATTGAAAAATAAAAGATTTGGCAAAACTGAAAAGATATATATATATATATATATATATAGTATATAAATAAAAATTTAAAAACACCAAATTTAGTCTCATTCATTTTTAAAAAGAAAAACAACTATTACCTAAATTACCCTGGCAAAATTTAGTAGCAATAAAAAGCACATGGCTATTTATCCTGCGGTGTTTCACAGTTAAACTATTTATTCAGGACATATTGTCCTCATTACCATTAAGTAAGAATATTTGCAATTAGATTAGATATAACTATGTGCAGTTAGTATATGTGTATATGAAGGGTAAAAAGTAGCTTATTTTTATCTTTGTTTCTAATATGTCCTAATATGATCAAAATTAACTTGTGAAATATTTTTCAAAAATAAATTACTAATTTCTCCTGGGTAAATTGTTTACTTATCGGTTGGTAAAATTGGCTGATTGTGTGTTTTGTGCTGATTCCTAATTTGTCAAGCTGTTCCGTATGTTGCTTGTTTGTGGGTGATGTAGTACACAACTTTATATACTTTTCTTCTATATTTCACTCCACACATACTAATTAGCTGCTTTGTATAAAATACCAGTTTATGTTACTCATAAAAATAATATCAAAAAGTTAAGTTGTCAATCAAGTCTTAGTTAATAGTAGGTGCCATTTGCTCCATAAAAGCAAACCAATATAAAGCAAAATCAGTTTAATGTTAGCTATTTTATTATTAATATATAATATTTCAAGTTGAGTTAATGATATAAATAGTTATTAACTTACTTACTGAATATATCACTTAGGTGTAAAATAAATATTTATTTTATCACTTTTTATTTCTTAAATATTATTGTTTATTTAAGTTTTATTTATTTTAGAGAAAATAAGTTTGTAGTAGAAAGTGACTGGGGCCCTGGCCCCGACTTAAAAATGAGGCAAAATTATAGGATTTAGCTGAGTTGATAGCTGGGGCTAGAAAATTTTTTGTAATACTTTTTGTATTATAAATTTAATACTTACATTTACTATTTATTAAATACTGGCATATATTTACATATTTTTAAACTCTAATTTACTTCCAACAAGATTGCAAGCAGCTGCTATTAACTTACGAGTTACTTTAAAATAGAGAAAAAGCTAAAATACTAGGAACAGTTGACTGAACACTTAAAAAGTTGTAGGTTGTATAAAAAAAGACAACATGAATATGGGTAAGAGTTATAAGGTTTTTTTGATGTTCAAGGAAAAAAACTGGATTAATAAAAGTTTATATAGCATGAAGGGACAGATACAGTAAAAGGGTGCAACTTTTTGAATAAGAAGCCAAAAAAGAATGAGTTTTATTTTATCGTAATAGAGATGATAGTTTTTTTGAGCATTGACCATAATGGTATATTTAGAAAAAAGAAAGAAATGCAACCTCACAACAATGGGAGTGTGGCTTAACCTGGGCAGAAAAAGCAAGTCTAACTACATTTACAATGTACTTTTAGACTTTGTCTAAGAGTAGGTTGTTATTTGTCTATATAGGAATGCCAACAATATTGCAATACTTTTTTGCAGTAAATAAATGAGTTTGGTTGTCTAAAAAAATTGTGAATTTTAAGTCTAGAATTTAAATCTACAAGCCACTGCAAGTATTAGGCTGTTACAGAAGAGAGATCAGATTAAAAACCAGCTGCTTGTTCTATCGTGGAATCATGGAAGCTTGTATTCCAGAAGAAATAAATACTTCCATGATATACTTAATGCATACATATTATGGATATAAACATATATGTTTGCTATTTATTTAGATGCTGGCATACAATATCCTTTCATATTTATATAAACATTAGTATTTATATGGTGTAGTATTAACCAAAAGAGAAGATGGTCAGATGGATGTGTGGTGTGGCTCTAGCAAGACAAGAAAAGAAGGCATAATTTTAGACAGATTAGAAAAAAACGTTTTATTGAACGTTTGTTAGAAAAGATTAAAGTGATTTAGTATCAGCATGTAGAGGGGGTAGCTTCAGGAGAAAATGGTAGTGGTAGAAATAAGAAAACTTGAAGAGAGTGTCTTACATATTGTATAAATGAGCTTTAGTTAAGATTGTTTATATTAGAGAAACAGCATAAATGAGAAAGGCTAAAGCTTGATAATAATGATAATGATGATGATGATGATGATGATGATGATGATCATCATCATCATCATCATCATGTTGATCATAATGATGTTTATATATGCATATAAATACAAAATATAACATGCATTTTAAAATAAAATAAAAACATTTTAAATGTATAATTGTTTATGCAGCCCTGGTCACAAACCTGGTATCAGCTATATTTAATCAAATCCGGTCCTGACCCTGGTCAAGTATCAACCTCTGTCACTTTTTTAGAGTAGTTAGTTTTTAGTTAAGTTTTTAGAGTATTCTTAAAAACTATAAAAAACTATAAAATTTCATTTTTTATTAACTACAACAAATGGTAGTCTGATTTACATTTGAATGCATTGGTTTCAATATAGTAATTTATTTTTAAGCAAATCTTCCAAATGAAAAAAGTTTGCTATGCCAAGCTTGCTTGTCAAAACAAAGTCGTAAAATAAATGAGCTTGCAGCTTTTGTTCCTAAAGATGAGGTTAAATGTTTTATTTTTTATTTTTATACAGAATAACTGAAAGAAAAAAGATTAAATTTTTTTTTTTAATTTAGTTTTATATATATATATATATATATATATATATATATATATATATATATATATATATATATATATATATATATATATATATATATATATATATATATATATATTATATATATTAGTGAAGAACCCAGAGTTTATTTGGGAATACTGTTTATTTCAGCAACGTTGAGGGGGGGGGGGGATTATATTTTTGATTTCCCCCTCCTCCTCATTCTCCTCTAGTTAAACAGGTGCCGCAACAATAACTTTTAATCATCATTTTCTTAATAATCATTTATGTTTATCTTGTTCAGTTTTATTCTATAATAAGGTGTTGATTTAAAGGCATTTTTTGAATACATGAATTTACTGGTGGACGATGTTACTTTAGCTGAAAGAAAACTATTTTACCGAAGATTTTAATGAACGTTTTTGTTGCATATACCCCGCTATCAGTAAATAATTATTGAAAATTGTTTAAAGTATTTTAAACAGTTATTAACTATATTTTAGTAAATTTAATTTAAAATAATAAAAATATTTTAAACAATTTTTAATCAATATTTACATTGCATAATATATTTACATATATATTTACATATATTATATTGTGTAATATTTGTAAAATTAACAAAATAGTTTTACGTCCTTAAATTTGAATTAAAAACATAAACATTTAATTAACAAATTCGATAAGCATTTAATAAACATATTTAATAAACTATTCGAATAAAAACATAAGCATTTAATAAACTTATTTTCAATTATTTTAAATTTAAAATTTTGATTTAAATCTTAGTAAAATTGTTCATTTATCTTTTACTAAAGGTTATAATTTTTAAAGTGGTTTTTAGGCGCCTTTTAAATTAAAGATAATTAAAGAGATAATTACAGTAAACATAATTTTAAAAATATTTTATTATTTTGATTAAAAACCATATTATATTTTTAAAAACATATTTAAAACAAAATATATTTTTAATTATTAAGAATAATTTAAAAAATTACATTTGAATAAATAAATTACATTTACTATGGGTTATTTTAAACAGATCTAAATAAAACTTTTATTAAGTTGTTAAAACCTTTTTTGTTTATTATTTTAATAAGAATATTAAAAGGAAAAAAAACTGTCTGAAAAAGATTATACTTCATTTTTTCCTTTTCCTTACGTAAACTAAAATAGTAGCCTAAAGATCAAAAGTTCATTCATTTAAAAATTAAATTTGCGCGATAGTTATAAGGACTGATTTTTTTTACTTTTGTTCATTTATTATTAAAAGTAGTTTACTCTTAATTGCCAAAAAGAAAAATTAACCTTACGTTTTAAAAATTTTGCAACGTGGTTTTAATGTCCAGCTAATAACCGAAGGCAAATTATTCATGTTTTTATGTAAAAAATCAATTTCTTTTTAATTCTTTTTATTTTCCTGAAGAAAAAACGAGGTAGCTAAATTAAACTGAGAATTATTTATATACTACTGCATTTAAAACTAAATTTTTTTTTCTTTTTAAATTTAAAACTAAATTTTTTTTTTCTTTTTAAATTTAAAACTAAATTTTTTTTTCTTTTTAAATTTAAAACTAAATTTTTTTTTTCTTTTTAAATTTAAAACTAAATTTTTTTTTCTTTTTAAATTTAAAACTAAATTTTTTTTTTCTTTTTAAATTTAAAACTAATTTTTTTTTTCTTTTTAAATTTAAAACTAAATTTTTTTTCCTTTTCTTTTGATTTTTTCATAAAAAATCAAAAGAAAAATTAAAAATAAAGATAATTTTTGGGCGCTTTTTTTTGGGCACCCATAACGGTAAAACGGTACTAAAACACGTCTGGGTTCTTCACTGTATATATATATATATATATATATATATATATATATATATATATATATATATATATATATATATATATATATATATATATATATATATATATATATATATATATTAATATATATATATTTTTTTAGAAACATTTTGAATTGGAGAGCGATGATTTTGAAAGATTTTTAAACGAAAAATACAAACCTTGTTTGTCATGTCTTTCAGTTATATCTTATCATCTCCAGGAACAAGATAAACAAATTCACATGACTCACTCGCAAAGCAGTTCTTCGTCTAGCTTGAGGAAATTAAACATGGTATTATTAGAATAACTTTTTTCTTTTGTTGTTTAAAATTTTTTTTGTTCCCATGGCTAAAACTTCCTCTAATATCTTATATACTTTTTGTATATAAAAATGATAATTTTTTTAAAAAATTTAAATAAAAAATAGTCAATATTTTCTATCAATATTTCTATAAAAAGTCTCATTCTTTAACTTTTTTTCTCTATTGTTTAGAAACACTTTTTATAGCAAACTCTATCATTTCTATGGCAATTTTGTTAGAAGTTCTATAGATCGTAATTTGTTTAAAAACTTTTTGTCTTAAATTTTCCTGTTATTTTCAAACATAATATTGTAAGTTATTGAAAATTATTTTTCTTGAATTGAAACAAAGTAGAGTTAACTCTTGAACAAATATTTTAAAGATTCTTAATACCATCTCATGTAGATTACAAAGTTTAAAAGATTCCTTATACCATTCCATCTAGAATAAAAACTTTTAAAAGATTCCTAATACTGTCCATGTACATTTTTTTTTACTTAGGCAAAGTAGCAAGTAAGTTTTTCAATGTTTTAAAAATTTATTTAATTTTGTTATTAGAATCCTTTTATTAAAGAAACTTGCTGAGCATTATATTTTTCCGTTTTATTTTAAATGACATTCAAGGTTCCATATGTAATCCATGGGTTGCTACCACTAATCAAGGAGCTATTGCTGACTTAATTTTTTTTTCTAATAGTCCATTTTTATTTAAAAGAAAATTGAAACCTTTAAAAAACATTACAAACAACTTAAAAAAAACTAGTCCATTTAATTTTTGAAATATCTTGATCCTTGTAATTATATATATTTTTAAATGATCTGATATTGTTGTAGGTAAATTTTAAAAATGATAATGTAGTATTTAAATTTGCAATGATAATAAGAAATTTATTTCATAGCAATGATATTTTAAAATTCAGGTTCAGAATTATCTGAGTTGATTATTAAAAGGTTATTAAAAGTTGGTTATTAAAACATCAAAATCACATATCAAATATATAGTTTTGTTTTTTTCTACGAAGAGTTTTTCAAAAAGTGGAGTTTAGTATATATTAATAAACTCTGGAATGTCTATATTAGGCTGGTGATAAATACAGTCTAAAATGGTATTAGATATTTTTATAACAGTGATTTTCATAAACACATATTCTAAAAACTTTGATTTATACACATTAAAATTGCTTTTAGATTTGTATATTAATTTAATAGAGATGTAAGTAAAGCACTTGCAAAATGTAATGTGATTGTTGGTAGAATGTAAATTTTGTTTGAGTTTGCTCATAAACATAATTGGTAAAAATTAATGTGATTGTTGCTAGAATGTCAAATTTGTTGTAGTATTCTCATAAACATAATTGATAAAATTTAATGCCATTGTTGGTAGAATGTCAGTTTATAGTTTAGTTAATGAGAGATAGTAATAAGTTTAGTTTATCAAAATGCTTAACAAGAGAAAAAATATTTAAATGAAAAGAAGAAATTTTTGAACATTTTATCACAGAAACAAAACATTTTAACACTTGGCAGTGTTAAAATGTTCTGTGTTGATATATTTACAATTTATAGGGTTTGCAACCATGTTTATGTGATTATAATTGTTATAAAACTGATGTGAAATCAAGTTGAGTTTTTTATAAAGATTAGATTCTTTTGTGTTTGGAAAAGGTGAAAGGTCATTTGGGAGTTTGTTAATGTGTATCACCTTAATAATTGATGTTTATAGAAGTAATTTCTTATCAAATACAGAACTAAACTGAAAAGTATATTTTATAAATGAAATACAGAATCAAACTGTTATTTAGTATCCTAAAATCAATATCATTCAAGAAACAGCATCTTTTATGAACTAGATTTAAGCAATGATTACATTAAAGGTAGAAACCACCACTACTAATTAATTTTCTTGAGACAAACTTTGCAGTTAGTAGATATTATTTAAATAGTGCAATTTATAAAAAGAAATGAATGAAATGAAATTGAGCAAACAACTATTACACTATCAATAAATTTAACTACAAAAATTGAGCAAACAACAATAACACTATCAATTTAACTACGAAAAATAACAGCCACAATAGAGACAATAATATTATTTACCATAAGTTTACTAAAATAAGTAATAACAAGTATTATTATTAAAAATTGATATATTAAAAGTGAGTTTAATAGTAAAAATGAATGCAACCTTCTAATAATTTAACAAATTAAATAATCCTTTAAAAAATTTTCAAACATTTTTGATTATCATTATTACTATTTATTATTTTCATTACTATTAATCAAAAAAAAAAGAAAAGATTTTTAAACAGATTTTTTTGTTTTTTATGTTGTATTTTATTTTTTATGTTGTATTTTATTTTTTATGTTGTATTTTATTTTTTATGTTGTATTTTATTTTTTATGTTGTATTTTATTTTTTATGTTGTATTTTATTTTTTATGTTGTATTTTATTTTTTATGTTGTATTTTATTTTTTATGTTGTATTTTATTTTTTATGTTGTATTTTATTTTTTATGTTTTATTTTATTTTTTATGTTGTATTTTATTTATTTCCTAGAACAGTACAAGTAGTTCATCCAAATCCATTTTTAAATGTGTGGTTAAATTAATGTTATTGCTTGCATTATTATGGTTGTATAGGCTTCCCACATACATCTCAGCAAAATGTAAGCTTTTCCATTATTTTTTAAAAGCATGGTAAATTTTTTATGTATGACATTCAATATTTTTGTAATTATTGCGTTGACTCAAATAGTTGTTATTTTCAGATCTGCTTGTTTATCCTATTTGCTTTTTCATTTACTTCAATATCCTATATAAGACAAGATCTTTCAGGTACATATATGCATATGTTTTTGTTTATAAGTTTAATGTTTATGTTTCCACACTAGGGGGTTTCCATTATGCAATTTTTTTTAAATTAAAATGATGTTATAGGAAGAGTTGAAGCATTTGATGCCATATTATTGAACTATTAATATGTTATCTGTGCTGCATGCATTCTTTTAGACATTATTAATGACATATTTAAAGTCCTAAAGAGTAGATATTGGGGTTATTTATGACACATAAAATACCCTGAAGCCAAATAAATTTTAGAGTAATAGATTTTTCTGTAATTATGTCAAGCATTAATCATTATTTATGATAAAATAATTTTAAAACCCTTATTACTTTAATTGAAAACGAAATACTGAAGAATTGTTTTGACAAGATTTCAGTAATATTCTCTTGTTTTTTTTTAGACATACATAAAATAACTTTGTACAAAAAAATATGATTCACATGTAGTGGTGCAATATCATATCATATATATCAATCATATTTCATAAAATTTTCTTTAATTTTATTAAATATGATTGATATGTATGATATGATATTGATATGTATGATATATTTAAATTTATTTGTTGAAAGTTAAATTTAAAATTATTGTTTTAAATTTAACTTTGTTGAAAAACAATTGTTTATATGTAATAAACCTAAAACGCTTGTATTTATATAAATAATAACTTTCTTTAATCAAACTGGGTTTGATTATTGTTGATGAGTTTTTGAAATTATGATGAGGGAGTGAAATTTTATAATTAAAACTAAATCATAATTAACGTCAAGTTTATTATCATTGTCATTATCTACTTTTCAAATTATGTTGCTTCTTATTACTTACATTTTTTCTAATTCACCTTGTATTGTCTATTGAACACTCTAAATTTCTATATATCTCAACCTTTTTCTCTACTTTTTTACTAACACATCTTATTATTGTTTAGATGCTTGATTTCTTTTATTTATTAATTAATAATAGTAGTATAGTACAGTTTAATAGTAACTGTAAAATACAGTTTAATAGTAACTGTAAAATACAGTTTAATAGTAGCAGTATTGTACAGTTTACTAGTAGCAGTATATACAGTTTAGTAGTAGCATATCTTTAACTAAAAAATTCATGGGCAGTAAATTCATTTTTAGCAACCTTTTACACTTGTAAATGATATTTTACGAAGTGAAATGAATCCGGTGAAGGCAAATAAAACTTATATATATATTACGCATACCTAATGAGTGTTTATAAGTGAAAAAGAATTAAAATTAAAAATTTAAATGACTTAAAACAAATGTCAAAAATAAAAAGTTCAAAGTTAATAAAATTTCATTAAAGAATTTCTTTATAAACTATATTTTTCTCGAGTCCCTAATAAAAGAGGAGGGGGGGGAGGATGTTTGTTAATTTTCAAATTGACTTTTAGTCGACGTAGTCGATTTCAAAAATGTTTTAGTCAATTTTTGTTAACTTTAAAAATATATCAGTCGATTTAGTCTACTGTTGATTTATTTAATAGTTGTAACAACATTAACAATAATGTATGAGTTTTTAATATAATAAAGATGTATGAGTTTTTTTTTACTTTTTTTTTTTAATTCGCCTACCCAAGGCCATGAAGGCCACTCCAGTCGAGGAAGTTACTTTTAGTTGTGGTTACAACCCTCTCTCAACTCTATAACTCTATAAGGCTGCTGTGTAGAGAAACAAGTTGAGCGCCATACTGACAGGGATGTGGTGGGGACTGAACTCAGAACTTCTCACTTTTGAGGCGAGCGCTCTACCATTACACCATTCCCGCATTGTTAAATTTGTTACAATATGAAAAAATATTTGTTTGCTTTATTTTTTATTTAAAATCTTTTTTTTTTTAAATAATATAAAAATAGATGTTTGTTGGACATATCCATTTAATATGTATGTCATTCTCATTTTTAAATTATTTTTAGATTCAAAGGATTGGTGTCTATACTTGGAGTGCTTCTTTATTATTTTGGAGAATTAAAGTAATTTTTGTTTTGTTTTGTTCACAAAAAGTTATAAATTTTTTAAAAACAATCATTACAATGCCAACATTAAAATTACTACACAAACATGTTAATTTATTCCCTTGATTAAAGTTTTAATTCCTTGATTAAAGTAATGCAAAAATTCTTTTTGTTTTAATTAGTTTACAAATCATTGATTAAAATTATTTTACAGAGCATTTTATAGGAGATGTTTTCATAAAGATGAATGATTTTATTTTATTTATGGTTTTTGTGCTTTGGCAAAACAGAGGAGAAACATTATTTTCAAGCATGTTTGTTAAAATTGACAGATTGGGCTAATGGAATAAAACAAAAGATCATGTTGCTGTTATTTTTGTTTGATTAACTCTCAAACTTTCAATTCAAAGAATAGAACATATTGAATATTGGAATTTCAATTATTTTAGCAGTTGCTTGTTGTGACTAAGTTTCTATTTCCATTTGAACATTGGCAGTCATGATGAAGAACACATTGATGGCTCAGAAAATGGATTGTTAGATGAGGACAGACAGTGAGATAAAAACTATAATAAAGAACTGATTCAAAAATTTCTATAGTTAACTTTAACTCTGTTGAATGAGTTGAAGGCATTAAGTTTATTAAGAATAAAAAACGAGAATAATATTTTATGAGACAAAAATTTTTTATAAAATGTGAAGTTAGCATCCATTTAAAATGTTGGAAATGACAGTCAAGTTAAATATATTAGAGAGCGTCTTTATAGCAGTGTGTAGTTTACCACACAACATAAAGAGTAACTTTATGACATGTGTAGAGGTGAGCATTAGTGGTTGCATGTTGTTCCTGGTAAGACTTGGCTTTATGCAAATCTAAGTTAACAATTAGTCAAAAAACATATAAGAAACATAGTATTGAGTCTTATTTACTAATTTAAGCTTGCTTTTTGAAAAAAATAGTTTTTTTTAATTTTTTTTTTCAATATTTATTCTTGTATTTTTTAATCAAGTTGCTGATGGTTCTTATTCAAGCGTTATGTACTTTTTAATCAAGTTGCAAAAGGTTCTTATCAAAAGCATTTGGATAAGAACCATCAGGAACTTGATTAAAAAGTATCAAATGTTTGGATAGGTGAATATCAAAAAACATGTTTCAAAAATAATTTAGATACAATAAAGAAGTTGAATCAGTACAACTTGATATTAAAAAGCAAAAAAAAAAAATCAACTACTTCTTAAAAATCTAAACTTGTTAAACCTTAATTTATATAACGTTAAAAATTTATTTTATTTGAATGTGTTGTTAAGTTTTTAGTAGTTAGTTGATTTTTTTTATTTTTTACTAATATTATAACAATAACAAAATGTTATTATAGTTATAAACTTCTTTTTTTTTTCCTGAAATTACTTTTCAAAGTTTACTTTTGACAAGTAATTTCAGGAAAGTTTACAGAAAAGTTTACAGAAAGATAGATATTTGAAATCTTTTTTTCAGATATCTATCTTTCTGTCTCTATTTATTATTTTTAGTTATATAAATATATAAGGTACTATTGTTTCTATTTATACTTATTTCTACCATTACTTACTTAATTTTAAGGTTAATTACCGTATTTGTATTATTTTTTCTAGCATTACTTTAAGCTAGCTACACCTTTGTATTATTTTTTAGGTTAGTTACCATCTTTGTATTATTTTCTTATCTAATTGAAGTTATATCAACTGTTTGGGAGTTGTTAAAATGGATTTTCCAAACAAAAGATTTTTATCAACAAAAAATGAGGTTTGCATTAAAACTTTGATATTAAATTTTTGCTATTAACTGTTAATAGGTTATTTTTATTAATTAACTATTAATAGGTTATTTTATTAATTAACTGTTAATAGGTTATTTTTATTAACTGTTAATAGGTTACTTTTATTAATTAACTGTTAATAGGTTATTTTTATTAATTAACTGTTAATAGGTTATTTTTTATTAATCAACTATTAATAGGTTATTTTTATTAAATTTTTTTTTAGTTTCAGTAAAGTTAAAAAACTTCAACAAAACCACAAAATCGGCAGTTTTCCAGCAGAGGGAATAGTTAGTAATGGTTTCAATAGAGTTGAAAGTTTTAATGATATTGTATGTATATTCCTATTGTTTGTTTAATGTACTTTGTTATTTTCTTTGTAAATAAGTTTTTTTCTACCTTTAGTTTTTTCTTTTTTTAATTGTAGTTTCTGAAATTATTTGTTTTAGCCTCCCCAGGGTAATTCTATAGTTACGCCTGATTTGCTTCATGGCCATTTAGATGCAATGCAAATAGGAAATAAAGATTCCACATTGGGATTTAAAGGTATACATTCTTTTTATTTATTGAAATGTAAATTAAATTGAAAAATGCACTTTATAAGTTCTTTATAAATTTATTACAGTTAAATAAATTTGATTTTTCAATCTCTTTAAATTTTGGATGTGGCTCTTTATAAATGCTATTTACAAACAGTTATTTACACATACCATAAAAATTAATACATTACTTTATTGCAATCGAATAAATGAGTACTTGCATTTATATTACTTAAATAGGGAGAACACACAGTGAGTTTACAATTATCAGGGAAAGAATTTGGGTTGTCATTAGGATTGCCTGCCCAAGTCCACACCCAGAATTGATGTATGTGCAATCCTTGCATTTTCTCCCTTTTTAAGTCAGTTGATGTACTCATTTATTCTGTTAAAAAAAAATAATATTTGATTTTATGGTATATATAAAAAGCCATTTGCAAGTATATATGGTGTGTATAAATAGCCAATTATGTATACATAAAGTATGTATAAATAGACACATTTTTAAATTTATTATGATCAAATGCATAGCACAATTATTCATTTAGAAAGATTATTGCAAATTTCAAGGTTTATAAATTTGAAAAAATTTGATTTAATTCCTAATAAGAATCATTTATTTTTACTAAGTTTTAATTCAAAAAAGTTGAGCAATCTAGTTTCAACAAAACTTCCCTTTATAATTACTTAATAAAGATTTTATGAAGTATTTTTATTAAATACATATTTTGTGAAGTATTTATAAGAATTTTATGAAAAATACTAAATATATTGATTAATTTTATTTAATTATTATTGGGAATAATTTTTTAAAGATATGAAAGCAAGCAAACAAAGTCAATTTTTTTTGCTGTTGTACATCATAAATCTAAGTTTAAAATTAATTCAAAACGTTTCATGAAATTAACTTATTGTTTGCACTGATACTGGTAGTAATTTTAAACGAAAAAAAAATTGTTGTTTTTTATATTGATTTACGTGATGTTAAATTAAAAAATAGAGAGTTTTTTTCTGGAACTTAAACCAAATGTAAAAGTTCCATCCGCCACCAGGTGTTTTTAGATTTTTATCCAAGGGAAGATAAAAACATCAACTTAGGTTGCAATTTAGTCGGGTTATAAAAGTCAACAAGCAACTGTGGCGTAGTGTTTAGAGTTCTGGCTCAGAATCCAGAGGTCTGAGGTTCAATGCCAGCTCTATACCAATAAGCGACATTGGTAAGAAAGGAGACGTGAACTTTCTAGTTAAATACTCTACTGTGGTGCTATGTGATAACACCATAAGATGTTCTAGGAGCACTTTAATAAAATAAAAACAAAAAAACAACACTGTGGTAAAAAAATTTGTATGTAGCTAAAATTTAGCTGTTTTTTTTTTCCAGTGATTTACTAAGGTATTTTAAGGTATTCACAAAGTTATTCAAATTTCAGTGGTTCACTAAGGTATGTAGATCATTGAAATGTCTTATGATTCACAACAGGATTAAGCCCTTATCCAAGCAGCATTCGGTGTTGCTTCATTGCTACACAGAGTTAGATGGTTTAAAAGATGAAAATGTTATTGGCAAATATAGACTTATATACCATATATATATCATTAATATATTCCATTTTTTAGCATTTTATATACTGAACATCTTTTTACATTACATTATAGGTTTTTCGTTTAATAATATTGAAAATAATTATATTTTTTTTCTTAGTATCTAAAATATATTTTATATAATGTTATTTAATAATTTTTAACAAGAATTTTTGCAAAAATGCTATGCTTTTTTTTTGTGTAAAAAATTTTTTTATATAATTTAAAACCGTAATATTAAAAAAAAAAAAAATTTACTTTAAACCTATGTGTATTGATTTATTTTAGATTTTAAAAGTTTATTTTTATAATTACAAATGCCAATGAGGGGTGGGAAAAAGAAGGCTGGAAAGTAGGAGGAAATAATTTGAAAACAAATCAAAGATCAGGGTTCCCACACCTCCTTAAAAACCTTAAATATCCTTAAGAAATAAAAACCTCCTTAAATGTCCTTAAATAACCTTAAAAAAAGTTAAAATTTGACTGCTCTCCTTAATTTCTCCTTATTTTTTTTTCTATTCATCTAGAAAAATTTTTTAAAGTGAATGGATTATACTTGTTAATAAAGAAGATAATATATAGATTTTTGATAGTTTTCAAAGCTATTTTTGTTATTATATATATATTAATATATATATATATATATATATATATATATATATATATATATATATATATATATATATATATATATATATATATATATATATATATATATATATATATATATATATATATATATATAAAGTAATAATAATTTCTCTGTCTATATTTAAAATTTATTGAAAAAAATAAGATTATGTTTTTAATGTAATCATTTTTTCCTTAATTATCCTTAATTTTTCTTTCAAAAAAATGTCGTTTGCGACCAAATCTCCTTAAATATTAGGAAAATATCTCCTTAAATCTCCTTATAATCCTTAATTTTAGCCTTAGTTTTAATAGTGGGAACCCCGAAGGTTTCTTGTGACTATTTTCATGCTTTGCCTAGAAACAAGATAAAACAAGTAAAGCCTCTTTTAAAACATTGCCACAAAATTTTTAAGTTCACCTTGTAAGAAGCAACGGTTGATGTCATACACAATATCAACTATTATGGGATAGAATAAAAATATTGATACAAAAATCATTTAAAACATCTGAAAATCAAGAGTTTATAGACATAATTGAGACCAGGATATAATTCAGCTTACCATAAACTGGTTGGAGGAGAGCTTCTAGAAAAAGTTTATGAAATAAACAATAAAATGATGGGTCAACTTACCTAAGAAGAAACAACAATAGCAATTACGCAAGATGTATGGAGTAGTGTTAATAATGATTGCTCATGGTCTATATATTGCTCCAATGATTGCTCATGGTCTATATATTGTACCAAACTCCTTTGTAAAGTAAAATTTTTAATTAAAGATCTTAATTAAAAATGCAACAAAGAAGTATTTGATGTGTTAACATATAATAAAAATAAGATGAAAAAAATATGGGATTTAATCAATAAAAACATATCCAAATCTTTTAACATATGGATGTTCTGCACGTTATTCAAATCTTTTAGAAAAAGAAGTAACACACCCAGGTGTTATCAAATATGTGTTTGAAGTACAGAAATACTTTTGCTATACACCACAATCAGGTGTAAATATTATGTTGTATTTGTGGTTTATCAACTTCATGTATAAAAAATATATAAAAGTTTAAGATTAACTATAATATTTTTCTTTTAAGGGATGGTTGTGTGAGAAAGGAGATTTTGAAAGAATTGTGATTCATTTCATACAAAATTATTATATCATCAGAAGCGGGAGTGATTGCTCTGCGCACGTGAAACATGCCTGTAAATCGTCTTCCACATGACAAATAGCGCTCTCTAATTTTTTTACAAAAGTAAAAAATCTTGCTCATCTGAAGAACTTGTGATGGAGAAAATTATAAGTTGATTTTGTAGAAAATATTTTCAGTAAATTTTTTTTATGTCAAGTCTATGTTTAATTAAACAATAGAGTTTGCATATTGTTAAATAATACTTAAATAATATTAACAAAGTTATATTTGTTATAAAGTATGTCACACATAAATTAAAAATCTCAGTGCAAGAGAACCAATGATTTCTTCTATTCGAAAGTTAAATTCAGCAAGTTTTTTTTTTTTTTAAATTCCCATTGAACTTTTTTATATTATCCCTTAATTGTAACCTGGTTAAGTTGAAACATTCGCTAACTCGCACAGGTTTTTGGGGTCTATTTGACAAAAAACTTCGCTTAACTAGGACTTTCACTTTGAATTGCATAAAAGTCTATGTAATAAAATATCAAAACTTGCAACACTTCCATAACAATTCTAAACTTTGAGTGCCTAAAAACTAAATATCTAGCATAATATTTTATTTATAATTGAATTTTTTTTATGTGAAGTCCGGGAAATCAGATGCTTTTGCATCTGATTTCCCGGACTTCACATAAAAAAAATTCAAACAAAAAATTTTTCAACCTTTCTTTTGTACACACTGGTACGCATTTGGGTGACCCCCTCCCAATATCTGCATAGGTAATTTATGGATGACCTATGGAAACCAATTTCTAACTTTTAATATCCCTCTTGAAGATTTGATACCGAGTGTACATAATCGTGCTTATTAATTGTTACTTTTTTGTGAGTGCAAAATATCATGCTGGGCGGTTTTATTCATTACATGCACTGTATCATTATATAAAAATGTTGAGCTTGAAATTATATCACCGATATTGTGCAGTAGTTGGTGGTCAATCATAAACCAGAATGAAAAAAAAAATCAGTTTAGAAAAAGTTGCTTATAACATGCTTATGTTTACAGAAATGTTGGTTATAATAATATTATAATAGGCTTTATTGAATGGATTTTTTAATGTCAATCCTTGTATCTTTAAGATATAATATATATTATATTTATTACAATTAAATTTAATGTATCTTTATAAATATATATATATATGTATGTATATATATATATATATATATATATATATATATATATATATATATATATATATATATATGTGTATATATATATATATATATATATATATATATATACATATATATATATATATATATATATATATATATATATATATATATATATATATATATATATATATATATATATATATATATATATATATATATATATATATATATATATATATATATATATATATACACATATCTATTTAAAAATCTTTTTTAACAAGGCTGCATGTAACCACTATTAGAGTTAAGGGTTACTGGAAGAGAATAGATGAAGTTTAAGGAGCAAGATAACAATTAACAGATGACTTATGATATGGCAAATTATATAAATCAGGAAAACAAAATGAAGGAAGCGAATTCCAAAAAACTGATGTTGGAGACAAAAAACTAGAGGAATAAGAGTTTTTGGAGCACTTAGAA